TGCACGCAGAGGCCATGATGAAGGAGGTGCGCTGGAACCAAATTGACGCTGACTTCAGACGCCGACTACAGTATGATGACGAGGGCTTTTGGAACAAGAATTTGAATTGTTTGTAAGCTGTCGAACTATATTTAACTTTTTGAACTGTTTTAGACGACTGTTTGGTCGTATAATCAGCTGGATCGATTCTCCATCCTCGAGAGGGGGAAGGCCATGTCCATTTGCCGAAAGGTGCAGGGGGCCGTTTGGTGACATATGTGTCGTTACTAAGACATGGAATAGTGATAAAGTGTCACTGATCCGGTACAATGTTGAGAAAAACACTTTGCAGAAAATAATCGATGTAACGGACGGATCAGGTGCGGCCTTTGTGGCAATTGAGGGTAAGTCTTTGTTATTTGAACTTTTTGGAGTTTCATAAACTACTATTACTGCCTTTGAAGCAAGCGAACACAACAGGATTTGTTTGTAAAATAAATTTCGGGGCACCTTTTACTGCTTTCTTTCTTTGCATGAATGAGATAACAACTAGAGAACAGAACAGCTTGAATTTTTACAGAATAGATAACAGCAAGGTCGTTTTCAAGGCGGCGAATATTCAATGATAACGTCGTCTTTATACTTGAGAAGGAAAAAAAGGGACAGGGAATAACAAAAATCAAAGGTTGATTAAATGGAGGCATGCGATTATCGGGGTAGTTGGAGATTAGGCCCATGGTCTAACTGCTTACATAGGTTGGATTTCTCCCGCCGTATCTAGGCTGCTTCCATGTAGCGCAAGGTCCGATTTGTTTGTGATCGAAAAAGAACTCGGAAAGATGTGATGAAGTCAACAGAGTGGCCACTGTGAAAATTCAAACTGCTCTGTTCTTCATTTGTTAACTTATTCATGCAAAAAGAGGAGGCAGTTGACAAGCTGCCCCAAAATGTATTTGTACAAATAAATCCTGCAGTGTACGTTTGCTTTAGATTTGTACCTGGGGGACAATGTTTTAAGTATAACTGCCTTCACGTACTTTAAGCAGTCACAACCAAAACAAGACAATAGTTTGATGACTGTGTAACAGGAGCAACATTTTCTCCTCGTCCATAACACGGTACTGACCAGGACATTGTCAAATTTGCTAATACTCTTTAATGTTCGGAAGAAGAAGAAGAAGCGATCACTGGAACAAGAGGTTCGGATTCCCTCGGGAATCCC